AAAAAAAAAAAAAGCCACAACAAATACAAAACAGCGCTACAAACAACAAAGATTGCTAAACTAAATAATCGCTGCTAATTGGACCACGAATTAACCAAAAGAAAAATCAAATTAGAAGATGGAATAACTACTGACCAAATTATTTGGACGAATACAAAGGTCGACTAGACTATTCTGTAGAACGAAGAAAAGCAAATGTTTCGGCAATTTCAAAATTAACTTAGCACCCTTTATCAACCAGTATCTAACTTCCTAAGAAAAATAAACTTTCAGGAAAACAGGTCCAAATAAAGATCGAGGTATATAAAGAAATGAAGCGCTCAGACGAATGAAAAAACAAATGTTGAAAACTCGCGCATATTTGGAAAGCAACTAAAAAGAGCATACAGCTAAACCTCTGCTTCAAACGACTCACAGCCAATTTACTACAGACAAATGATTAAAAAACAAAATAATTTAGAACGGAACCCATATTTCCAAATAAAACACTATAAAATACATACAAGAGAAAAAGTTACGGAAATCAGTCTGCAGAGAAAAATTTGTTCGTAAAAACTGCAATGCCATTTACCTGACGAAGTGACAGCGCAAATGAACCCGTAGACTTAATGACGTATTACTACAAACACGAAAAGCAAACATTATTCAACATGTTGTAGACAAGACCGTTTTAGCGACTGTCTAGTGCTGCCTTCAGACAAGATCCTCCTGTAGCAAGCGTTCGTACCTCCAGTACGCTTGAAATAAATCAATTGTAAAGACACTTTAACATTTCAGTTCTTTAAAATTGAGATCAAACAAAATGGGAAGGAAAAAAAAGCCATAAAGCGTTTTTAACATCTCGTTAGAAAATATAGAAAAAGCCAACCCCACAAGACAGTAACCGCCGAAGTCTTTCTGCAAGATGCTTTCCCCGACGGCAAGCAAATGCGTAAGATCGAAATGTAACTTCTTCGTCAGGTGGTTTTTTGGGAATGACCTTAACGGCTTCTAAAGTTTGAGACCTTTTTCGCGTGCAGGTTACTCCAGTTGTACTGGTACATAACAAAGATTTATGCTTTACTCGGTACAAGGACGAAGTACATCGATCAGTGCGAGCTGATAACGAATAAACTCCTCCAGGATGTTCTGTAAAAAAAAAGTACCCGTACTGATTATTGAATGCTTGGAAAATTTAGGAACTACAAACAATGATTATCGGGAAAATTATTGCAATGAAACGTCTAAAATGTTTCTAAACAAAGTGGTAATAATACTCACAAGTGGGAAGTATATGTGCTTAATGCCATACTTAATCAGTAAACTTGATTCAGAAAGATTACTTCTTAAACTCAAACTGGAATGATCCTTTGAAAGATCAGTATTCTTTCGCTCATCTTCATTCAAAGCCGAGGAAACATATGAAGCGCTTGGGCTACTTAGAGAACAAGGAGAATCACAAAGTTTAGAACTTCCAAAAGAAGGATCTGGAGGTGGATGGCCATGTTCCAATATGTAATGCACCCTTAAAACATCGCTTTTCATTGATAGAAGTTTTAAGTTAAAAGTGAAGTTATGGGAGGAAGAATCAGGCATTACTGCAAAAACTAGTTATTACTTCAAGCATTGTCACCGTTTACTATTATCACTTTCGAAGAGTCATATATGACATAAAATTTAAAGCAACTTAGGAAGGTAAAAAGAAACAGACCTTTCAACAACAAGTGGGTCATCTTGAATTGGATGCTTCTGGGCTTTTTGAATTCTTGTTGAATTTGCCTTGCCCTTTCTACTCACCTTTTTCCTTTGTAGCCTGGACTTCTTGCGGCTTAAAATAGTGGTAGATTCATTAATCCAGAACGCAAAATAAACTTCAGACAAATAACGTCCCTCAAATTATTTTTACTCACCTGTTGGGTTTAGCAGCAACTGTTCGCTTACAACTTCCCGTAGTTTTTCTTGGATCTAAACAGGCAGTACTTGCTTTAGAAGGCTCTAGCAGTTTGGGTCTCATCTCCCTAGAAGCGCATGGCAATGCAGAATGAACCACAGATTTCTCAGGCGAGATATCTTGCAGAAGCAATGGCGAAACATTCTGAAATATAAAATCACTGCTCACTGACTGTACCGAACAGTCAATGCAAGAAAAACGGGTAACACCTGTAAAGTAAACCAAATCGTTAGCACACTCCTTCTGTCCCAGTTGAAAAGATAGCCAATTTCACGAATAGACCATCTACTGTTTAAAAAACTTCTGCCATCCATATCCAAAAAATGTGCTTTGAAACCATATTTGTCCAATTCCAAGATTCTTTGTAATAAAGACTGCAAGGCTTCAAGTGAAGTAAGGGCTGACGCCTTAAAATAGCTAAAACAGTTCTGTGAGACTATCGAATGTGGAAAGCAAGTGAAGCGAAGATAAAAACAAGGAGAACAAAGGACAAAGTAACTAGAAAGAAAAACCATAAAAAGTACCGTCTGAAAAAAACTGAGTCCTCAACGCTGCCTGTCGAACGGTACTCTGGTTCCCTCTTAACAGAGATTCTAGCTGAACTTCGCTGTAGTTTCACGGAACTATAGCTTGTGCTGGGCTCACATTCTGAGCGTATAGCAGGATATGCTAGTACTTCTAAAGCACGGTATTCAAGGCAAAATGAAATTTTTTCATATGGCGCACACAGAGACGAAACCAGGCTGCTTAAGTTCTGAAAGACCATAAAATTATCTTTCTGCTCAAGAAATAACAGTAATTGTGTGTTTGTAGCTAGTTTAAATGCAAGCTTCCAAAACCGATTTTTGATTACGTTGTCGTGATTACTTACGTTGTCACGCAAAACAACAACTTCGTATGAGGATGGAACACGCTTCTTTCTTGCCTCTTCATCAAAGTTTACTTTAAAAAAATAGCCATCTGGTGCATATTGTTGAAACTTCTTTTGTAAAACTGAATCTCTAACAATTGCCTCGGATTCCTCTAGCCCAAAATCCTTGCCACATATTGGACAGAAACATTGGTCTCTCCTAATTTGCTTTACAGCACAAAAGCGACAAACTGCAACAATTTTTCATCCAAATATCACCTGTCAAAACCACCAAATTTCCAAAAATTAACTGAAACCTTGCCATAGAAATTCTTTTAAAATGAAGCAGAAAGTTACAGAAGAATGACGAAGTACAAAAAAAGGGGTATAAATTATATAGACTTCTATAATGAAAGTTTAACGAAGAATTTTTAAAAAAGACAAAGTTTCACCACGGCATCACTTCCTGCTCGGTGATGTAAACTTACAAATTAAAATTTGTTGTCGTTCTGCCTTTCTCGCTTAAGAAAACAAATGCAAAGCAACTCCCCTTCCTCCTCCTGATGGTAAAAAACTTGACTTTTCTTCTGTACTTTAATAAGACTAATTTTTTCTTCCCTCACGGAGTAAATTACGCACTATTTGTAAAATATTCTTTGATTTTTGGATATGCAAAACTGCACCGTATCAATGTGTTAAAAAACGACCCAAACTCAAGTAGTTGCAGCCTAGCGAACAATAGCCTATTACTCCCACACCCCTTATCTTACAGCGTTAGACAGCTTGAGAAATAAGACCAATTAGTCCCTTGGCTGCTGATCTGTCCGCTACTATGCTTAGTCAAAAGAATTTATCTATGGTCCATAAGTAAGAAAAAAAGTACAAAATAAATCCACTTATACTGCAGCCCCCCGCGCAGGTATAAGCCCACTGCTATTAAAAGCAATGAGTGAGAAGCGCCTTATATGTCGATGGTCAATGAACTAGGTCCACGTACATTAATGACCCATAAAACAAAAATTACGAGCGGTAGAAAGGGGAGAGATCAAAAGCCTAATTCCTTGACCAT